CACACACACACACACGGTCAGAGGAAGGAGTGATGTACATTTTTAACCCCACACCTTTATCGACTCAGCATAAACATGAACTTGTAGAAAACACACACACACACTCCGCCCATACAGTTTTCACACCGTCCATCCATCATATCCCAGCCCTGCTGCTGTTGCCGTCCATCCACGCTGTCATCCATCTTGCACTATCAACTCATCGATCAGTCCCGTCTTGTTCATTGATTTTGGGCTGTGTTGTAGAGCAGGCTGATTGTAGCAAGATTTGTATCCACTAACCCTTTATCTCTCCTTCTATCCATCCATCACCTCTTCCATTTCTTCCTTCATTAGTGCTATTCAAGCTCATCCCCGGGACCGTAAAACAGGCCGAACAGGAGCGCGTAATGATTCCACACTACAGTTTATCAATCGATGCTTATCAGTTTCTGTGTGTGTGTGTGTGTGTGTTTGAACTGCGCTGACCTTTTAATCATTTAAAGTAACCACAAACTATAAATGTCACATAATGAAGAGAGACGAGAGGAAGAGAAATGGAGATGGAGAAAAGGCAGCAGGTGAGAGGTGCACACTGCTTCTACAGAGACAACACAATGGCATCGGAAAATTGGCATGGCAACCATCTCGTTGTCATGGCAATCATATGACGGCACACTGGGTAGGTAAACAAGGATGCTGGTTGCCAAGGGCGACTGCTGTGCTCTTCGGGTAAACAAAGAATTTGTGCTGGAGAGTGCTTCGCTGGCTTCATCCGATCCTGCTCAACATCTCTTCCATCTCTCGCTCCGAGTTAATGTTACGAGCCGAGAACGAGGAAATGAACGGGGCAGAAAATATATGAGAATAATGTAGAGATGTGGGCAGTATCCAGAGGAAGAAGTACGTGTGGTTTGGCTCCAAGCGAGAGAAGGAGAGGGAGAAGGTGAAGGAACTGAATCTATATTGTAGTAGAGTAATTAAAATTCCCTTGAGCCTGAGAGAAAAATGCAAATAAAGTACAGTCCCTGTTCGTCAGTCACACTGTACTCCTCTCTCTCTCTCTCTCTCTCTGTTCCTTTACTCCAACACACATCAACAGCCACACGCTCCTTTCAAGTCAAATTATCCTCTAATTACTCACGTTCCAATTAAGACTTAATCAACAGTAACCATCTGCAAACGTGCGCACGTACAAGGAGCTGGCTTCATGCTGCAGCGTGGTTTGATCCGTCCCGGTGCATACGGAGGAGTCCTCGCTGAAAGACAGAGTTTCTGTATCTCTGAGGAAATTCATATACATATGCGAGCGGCGGCGGCGCGCGAGGAACGAGATATGTGATATATGATCGTGTGTGACCTTGTATGACCACTCGCACTCAGTGGAGGCACGTCCACTCATACACGCATGACCAAACCCTGCATGCAAACACAGCTCCATTTGCATGCTGTGGTGCCAACACAAATACACACACAGTACATGTCACTCACACACACACACACACACACACACCCTTATACACTACTGAAGCCGCCCTTTAGCGCACACAGAAACAAACACATACTACACACATACAGTTAATCTGACTCCCTGCAGTAACGCAGAGAGGATTGTGCCAGGATTAGGGGATATTAAATCCTTGGATTATCCAATCAAATCGTATTCTCCCCCCTCCCCCACCTACGCAAAATCAGTGGGACAAACCATTGCACTACATCATGAGGGTAGCGGGAAGTGTGCGTGTGTCAATGTGTGTGTGCACGTACACAATTTGGAACATGGATTAAACTACGGTGTTGAATCAATGTTATCATTTTGGTCTTTTGATTTTTTTTTTTTTCCATCACAACACTGGGGGGAAATACTCCAAACACAAATATAAAACTGATTACGGTGCACAGCATGGCAACAGACAATGTGTGTGTGTGTGTGTGTGTGTTTGTACTCTCTCTTCATATCTCCTTCCTCACAGACACACACGCGCACACACCCTTCCCCCTTCAATCTCCCTCTGGAACTCTCCATCCACACAATTTCAGATGTCCATTTCCAGAGCGCACAAGAAAGGAAAACTATTTTTATCCCTTCTCCACGATCTAGCATTATTTCTCCCTCTCCCCCATCCTCAACTCCATAATCCCCCACACACACTGCCTGATGACACGGGCATCTCTGCTTTTTTATCTTTTTCCATCCTCTCGCTCTCTCTCTCTCTCTCTCTCTCTCTCTCTCCTTTCTCATTCACTTCCCCATCACATTTTTTTCTCCATCATTGCTGTAACATGCCCTGCAGGCCTACAAACTCATTATCATCAGTGTAGTGAACCCTTATGTTGATTTGGCGAAACCAAAATTGAGCTAAACAGCCGTAACTGTTCGCCGTTTTACACAAAACTACATGAATGTTTAATATAATTCAGCCTTAATTTTTAACACCACAAAACACTCTGGAGTACCTAAAAACACATTTAGCGCAAAATCATGTAAAAAAGATGGCAATATTTACAAAATAAAACAGAATATTTCTGCTTGGATATCTTGACGATGGTAAGCCCTTATTGTTTGTATGACTGCTGCTGTTTTTAGAATTAACTGACTAATAATCTGCAACTATTTTAACAATAAACTTAAACAGAAATAATAAGAAAAAATGAATATTTTCCATTTTTCTTCTATGCCAGTAGGTTGTAAAAACCAAGACATTTTAATCCGTCACATTAGATATTTTGGGATTTGCTGGCATTTTATAAACCAAACAATTAATCAAGAAAAAAATTGGTACAGTATAGATATTGAAAATGATCATCAGTTGCAGCCCTACAGACGAATGTACTATCTACATACTTAAAACGATAACCAAAATGATCAACGCTTCATCTATATATCATCATATTTTTATATACTGCACTGTACACTGAGTGTGTTTACATTTCATTACACACTGAAGCACAAACACTGCGGCTCCCTGATGAGTTCCCGGCTCTCACTCACAGCTGGATGAAGACATTCAGATGTGAGAAAACAGAGAGTGTGAGCGGGAAGGTGGAGCAGCACAACTCCACCCCATCTCTCTCTCTCGTTTCTCTATCGCGCCACGCTAGGCTTTGCATCCCCCAGGTT